AGTTCACTACATTCTTTTTGCTCTAGTCATAAGTCTTTAGAATCCCCATGGTCGACAAGTTCCTGCGCCACAGAGCCTGTGCATAGCCTGTTGGCTAACGTAAAATTATAGGTTCTCCAGCTCTTGATTAATAACTGCTCCAGGGAACTGATGGTCTCTAGAAAAACCTCTCCTGAATTCCTCAGGACATCTCTTCATACACTGCCTACTTCACCCCTGCATCAGAACGCCTCACATTGTTCTTTGACATTTAATTTATATCAGTCCTTATTGGTCTTGGAGGTGCTGGAGGACAGGGCCATCTTGTCTGCATCCCACATTACTGTATCCCTGGTACTTAGCACTACAATCTCTCAAAAGCTATGTGCTGGACAAAGACTGCCTCCAAGACACTGAGGAAAGTCAGCATTCAGGTTCAATGACAAATTGACCTACAGGAGTTTAATCACATGTTTAAGACTTAACTTATAAATGTTCTGTTTTCTCATCAACATTTTTATGTTTTAAAAGGAAAATGGTGGTAAACTTAGAATTTACAATATGTTATCTTTTGGGCTCTATGTTTGTATATGCTTCAGTATTTAGTGCCTCCCCATAGGTTCCTAGCCACTTGAGATCATTCTTTCTTTACAGTTCTGAAGCTAATATTTGTTTCATTATTTTTTATTAATCATTTGTTAATATTTAAGTATTTGGAAGTCATTTGAAAATTTTATGCATGCATACAATGTGTTTTAAACACTTTCATTCTCCACACCAACCAGATCCACCTCCTTCCTCTCTCAAGTTTGTGCCTTCTTCTAAATTATTTTTCTAACCCAGACTCCAATTAGGGCTGCTCATATATACTTACAGATGTGTGGCCTCTTTTTTTGAAGCATGAACTATTCACCAAGGTCCAGAATCTTAAAGAAAACTGACTCTTTCTCTCTTAGAAGCCATCAACTGTCAATAGCTTTCCAGCTAAGAGTGGGAGGTAGGACGGCCCTCCCATTCATGCTGGAATGTTGGTTGGTTTGCTCTTGTGCAAGCAACTGTCCAGCATTATGTTTTCAAGACTAGAATGTTACTATTCATTGCTGTCAACACTCCTCCTTCTCTTGTGTGTTGGTGGTGAACCCAGAGCCTTGGATGCTGTGTCCCTGAGCTCTATCACCAGCACAGCAATTCCTCCTGCGTGTATTTGTCCTACGTCTCTTTCTTGTTCTCCCAACATCCCTGTTGCTTCTGACAACATTAACAATCCCTGGGCTTTCGTTGCAATTTGTGAAATTAAGCCATGCTGTGTGCTCTTATAATTTATCCTAATAACCACAATTTTTCATATGCTAAAAGAGGTAGCATCTGAAGTACCATTCTAATTTCTGAAACGCAGATTCTCATAAACCAAGGACTAACTCGGGTAACTATGCTTCTCCAAATAATTCAAAGACTCCTAATTTAGGCAGAAATGTATCAACATGAGATGTAAATAAAGCAGGCTCCAAATTAATTATTCATTGTTTTTGCATTTCTATCCACAGCTTCTGCACACTAAGACACACAGGGACAAAATATTATGAAAAAGGAGCAACTAGCTGCCTTTCTTTGTTGAGCCCTCAGGGGGACAGGAGACCAGGACTTGGAACTCACAGATTTTAAAGAGACCAGGAAGAATGACTCAGCTGACAAGAAAGAGGAAACAGGAAGAAATAATTAACCCATCCACCACTGAGCTTCTGCCTGGTATTACATAGACTCGTGTCACTCCAGTTTGCATGTACTTATGTTCTTCCTAGGTGTTTTCGCTTCATGTGTGTGCCTTGCTTACACACCCAACTTGGGAACATGAATATCTTGCAGGAGCTTTACAGGGACCCTGACCTAAACAGGAAAGAAAGCAAGGAAAGATCAGGAGTACACAGGGTGGAAAGATGGCACAGCCTTGGATGGGGACTTGACCATGCTGTCAGAAGGCAGGCACCTCCTCTAGGCTAAATTCTTTCACTCCTTAGCTCCACAGTAAGCCTATGTTTCTGTCACTATCATGTAAAACTTTCTTCTCTTCTTATTTGTTTTTTTATAGATTGTGATCCCGTAGCGAATATACAATACTAGCATCTTTTTTTTTTTTTCTCACTAGGTCGTTGTTTTCCATTTGACTCAGAGGATCAACAGCAAAGCTCAGAAGGAAGATTGAAAATTTCCAACCACAGATAACATAAATATGGCTCTGTTTCTTTATCTATTCACAGTTTTCAGTAGCTACAAGCTTAACCACCTCACATTGCCTTTTCTTTCAAGAAGTGTACTTTTCTTAAAGGCAACATCGCTCATTTCTGAATACTTTTTTCCATTACTGCCTTCATTGGAACCACAATATACCCTCGATTTTACAGAGTACACCCCCTTGTCCAGATAACAGATCCTGGGAGTTTTGTAGGCACAGCAATGGAAGATACAACCATGTTGCCCTTTTACAATAGAGTACTGATCAGGTACCAATGCTGAACTTAAAGCTAATGACTAGTTGTACTTGTGCTAATGTCTGACAATATCTCACTGGATTCCACATCAGACCACTATGAAAAGAAAAAGAAGTTCCTTTCAATAAGAATTTAAAAATAATGTCCCTTCTTGTATTATTATTATTACTACTAACACCAGCCGTTTGCAATGCCCTTACTTTATTTTAATATTTATTTATATTTTATTTATATGCATATTTTGTCCTCATGTAAATATGTGTGCCTGGTGCCTGAGGAGGTCCGAAGAAGGCATCAGATCCCCCGTATCTGGAGTTACAGATGGCTGTAAGCCATCATGTGGATGCTGGGAACCGAACCTACGTCCTCTGCAAGAGCAACAAGTACTCTTAACTTCTGAGCCATCTCTTTTTTTATTTTATTTTAATTTTTAATTTTTGAGACAGGGTTTCTCCATAGCTTTTGGTTCCTGTCCTGGAACTAGCTCTTGTAGACCAGGCTGGCTTCGAACTCACAGAGATCCGCCTGCCTCTGCCTCCCGAGTGCTGGGATTAAAGGCATGCGCCACCACCTCCCGGCTTCTGCTGAGCCATTTCTATAGCCCAACTCCTACCTTTTAATAGGAACTAAAGTACTGTACACAGATTACCTTAGAGGATTTTCAAAATAAAGTTACCGATGAAAGAAGAACTGTAAACATCTCCATTTGTTATGTCAGAAACCGAAAACCTAGAAACCTGAAGTGGTTGTGAAGTGTGAATGATGCTGTCTATAGTAAGGGGCACATATAGTGCTTCCCTAATGACCAGAATCTGAAGTACCCACAGCTACGTGCTGCTCTCAGCTGGTCTTTTGTCTCTTTATTTCAACCACATTCTGCCTATCCTGTCGTCAGCTGATTGGAAGTCGCATTTCACTCCATTGATGGAATCCTACTTTATACAGAGATTATCCAAACATCACTGCCTAGGGGCAGCAGGAGTTAGACACGGGGAGGAGTTGAGAAGTCCATCCCTGCTGTGTATCAGGACAGTCGCGTGCGCCCTGCTGCAAGGCTTTCCCGAGGTAGATCTTATTGTTCTTTTCTCTTATTACCAGGCTACTTATCCCTTGAGTCTAAAACATTCAATTTCCCGTACGCTTTCCATTTGCTGGTTTTTGTGTTTATCTGTTGCTGTTAGCAGGAATAGAAATCATTTTACCTCAGAACTGGGCCATGTAGGGCAGGTGTTATCATGATAAAGACCAAAACAGGCTCAGAGAACTTACAAGATGGACCCCAAGTCAAATTCATTTCTAGCCAGAATGTACCTAGAGCTTAAATTCAGGGTTCCATCACAAATGCAGGTCCTTGAAGCCTGTGCAGTCCTAATGCTACATGTTCAGGAGCCTCTCTGGACCATTTACTTGCCTTACAATAAACATCCAAGTTCACTTCCACAAATTCACTCATGAAGCCATGCCACTTCCTTCATCTTTTGTCCCAGCAACTGGCACCAACAGACTGGTGTACACACCAGGAGTCCAATGCCAGCTCAGAGTTTCTTCTGTCTTCATTCAGACACTCCTGTCTACATGCGTTCTATGATCAATTCATGTGTGTTTTAAACTCAGTATGTAAAATGCGTGAGTTTCCTTCCATGTCTACCAGATTACCACTATATTTCTTCTGGGTAGCTGGAAATGGTCTTCTAATATATTCCCATTATTTCTTTGTCCACTTTAAAGTCATTTCCATACTGAAGCCAGGATCATGTTTTTATTTTTGTATTTTATTTTTTAAAATATTTATTTATTTATTTATTTATTATGTATAGAATAGTCTGTCTGAGTGTATGCCTGCAGGTCAGAAGAGGGCACCAGACCTCAATACAGATGGTTGTGAGCTACCATGTGGTTGCTGGGAATTGAACTCAGGACCCCTGGAAGAGCAGGCAATGCTCTTAACCTCTGAGCCATCTCTCCAGCCCCAGGATCATGTTTTTATAACAAAACACAATCAGACCACAAATGTTATCCTCATCACTTGTTGGAAAAATTCCATTTCTTTTTAAGATTCTTATGTAAAAGTCAGAGCTTTCAATATAGTCAACAAGATCTGACATCATCTGGTCCTCACTAGCCTTACCTATGAATCTACACTTGCATATTCCCATTTCTTTAAACCTTGCAAACTATTTCCCATGGCTGCCCCTTCTAACTTGCATTAACAGTACATACTCCTCAGACTTCGACCTGGGTGTTCCTTTCTCAGCCACCATTTCACTGCATTCTGCTATGCTCTTTCCTCTGATCGTTCTCGTTGGTAATACTCGCCACTGTTGCAACATCACACTGACTTGTGGCATTCTGAGATTTGTTGCTACTTCTCTTATCAGACAATACTTCTTTCTGCTGAGCCTCTGCATGTTCAACACCAAATCTAGAACATGGCTGTCAATGTGTGCTAGAATATGGTTGTCAATGTGTGCTTGCTAAATGGGGGAAAGCCACAAGAAAGCATGAGGCATCCCTTCTTGTGTAGGTTATACTCACAAGGTGCCACAATGAGGTTGTAGACGGTAGTCTGGATACCTTCTGGATACACAGTAAAGCTGCACTCATACTGTCCACTGAAGGTGGCAGAGGTATTCTTTAAGGACAGAGTCCATTCTGTTACATTCCTCTGAATATTGATAAAAGCCACCTGTGCCCCACGGGCATGCCCCTGAGCATAGTGGAAGCCGTACTGAGGGTGAAAAACCACGATGGGATCGTTTTTATCAGTGACCTTAGACCACTGTGCCTGTACCAAGAATTCTTTCTCCTTTGTTGTTTGGCAGGTCAAGTTGACGTCAGATCCAGGTGAAGAATATATGGTTTCTCCCGCGTTGACTCTTTCTTCCCATATGCCTGGAAAAGAAGGATGTAAGTAATCAGTTTGCATAACTCACCTGGAGTGTCCCTTTAGAGTGTGTGTGTGCATGTTTGTACATGCGTGTGTGTATGCATGTATGCGTGCGTGCGTGTGTTCTTTAAAACATATCTTTGGTTAGCATACAAAACAGAGAGTGACTCTTAAAAACCCTGTTCAGCACACTGATAGGAGAGAGTCACTGAGATTTCTTCCCGGCTGCCCTAGGTGTAGAAAAACTCATGCGATTTTGGATGAGTGGAGGAAACAATGAACACTTACATACTTCTCTGTTCATCTGCCCAAAAAGTAACTGAAGGTGTCTGACTAACTGTGAATAAAGTATGTGTCTGTGTGCGAATATGAGCACCAATGCCCATTGATGCCCATAGATGCTCTTGGAACTGGAGTTACAGCTGGTTCTGAGCTGCCAGATGTGCAGAATAGGGTCCAAACTTAGGTCCTCTGTAAGAGCAGGAAATGCTCGTAATTGCTGAGCTACCTCCTCAGCCGACAAATTAAGCTCAGTTAAGTGTCCTGGTAAACTTATCATGAAGCTGATAACACATCTGAATATAGTTGATTTATCTGAGTCAGTTTCTGTAATAACTAGTCTAAGTACGGCAGTTTGTTTTCAGACTTTCTCTGTAAATTCTTTGCAATAGAGTGACTTTTCTTTTAAAAGAGTATGTGTTTACCAAGGTATTTTAAACAACTATTGTTTTAATCTTCGTACATCATAAGAGTCATATTGTTATGTTACCTTATCAGAAAGGAAATCAAAGCACTGAGAAACGACATAGATCATTTAGAGGCCACTCCCTTAAGAGAACGTAAATTCTCTTTGCAATTAGTCACATCTGTAGTTTTTCTTTAACATTAACTTCATAACTCCAAACCACCTCCTACATTTGGTCTGGTTGAGTAGAGTAAGAGCCTTGACATTCTTTCTGAGGAGAAACAGACCTCATCTCCATGTAGGTAAATCTACAAAGGAGAAGGGAGGAGATGCCTCAGGTAGAGGTACCCTAGGGCATCATCTCTACCTGGCTCACAAGATGCTCAACATAAAAGAAGATTCTCTCTTCCATCAGAAACCTGACGGCATGGTACAGACCACTAAAAATTCGTTCATCATTGAGTCTTTGATATGTCTTCAGAAATGCTGGTCTCCATTTTAGACTTTACCATTGCAGAAGTTATACATTATTGTGACAAATCCCCCAGAGCTCACAATGGGAAAGGATAAAAAGATGACAACTGCTGAGAAGAAACCAGCCCTCAAGGGCACTGGATGGGTAGGAGTTACTCTGCACTTGCAGGTGCACAAAGCTTGGGTAGACAGAGGTCCACTTCTGAGTGGAACTCCCTGGAAGGGATCCTTCAATGACATGCCTCTGAGTCTATCTGGACCACCATTTCCAATGTCTTTGCTTCAGAAACTCCTACAATCTTCACAGCCAAACACAGTTAATTATTAAAACCCCCAGGCTTTCAATAATAATCTTGTACTGTGGTATTCAGATCTAAGCTTTTGTCCTTCAATTTTGAAGTAGGCCTTTTAGGTTCTGGTTCCCATGGCCATAAGGACTCCACTTGGCTTTCCAGAGCATTCTTTGTATATGACTAAGATGCAACATACATCCAACCACTAATGACACTGGTATTACAGAGGAGAAATGCTTGTTAATCTAAAGAGAAAAGAAATGCTTGAGACAGGATTAAAAGCTTAGAACAGCTTTCTGCCCATGGACACAATTGTAGGGCTGCTTTAGTTTTCTAGAATTGTCTTTAAAATGGTCCAGGAGCATTTCCTCTCCAAGACACAATTTTCCAATTACTCGAGACTCTTTGAAGAGAGAAAATGGTGAAGAGAGGCCATAGCAATGGCACAAACCATCCATTCCCTTCTTGGCTCATGAGAAATCCTGTCTAGACTCTAACATCCTTTCCTGGCTGTCACATGCATGACTGACAACCTTAGCAACAGTTTGCCCTTTAGTGATCAACTCATGAGGCATTTCAAAGGAGCAAAGTTTCCTAAAGCAGCCATCTGAAAGAACAGAATTGAATGGATGTCTTACCCCTGAAAAATTGTATCTGGATGATGGAGTAAACCGCACAGTATGTCCATTTTCTCCCCATTGTCTCCCGAAGAGCTCACATCAGCATTTCTGTAATGATCTCAGAAGTCAGTGGATGTCTCTAGCTAAGCAAACGCTCGTCACCCTATTCGTGCTCAAAACCCCAACTCTACCACAGGGCTGGGGTTGTTGATCGCTTGGCAAGTCCCCAGGAAATGAAATGCAGACAGGAAAGTAGTGTGGTTCAGGGCTAAGTATAACCGCCACAAGAACAATGCAGAATCTGTTCTCTGAAACCTTGTGTCTTACCTCTAAAAGATTTTTTTTTCATATCACAAGATTCTCTCCTTCAGTCTCTTTGTCAATCAAGCTGCCTCTAAAATCCAAACAAAGGAAATCGTGCAGAGCAGTCCCCATGTGCTTTTTATACATTTCCTTTCAAGAATACAAAGTCATTTAGCAGACACGAGCTCTTAGCCTCTCATAACAGCGTTTCAACCCAATCTTAAGATATATTTTCTGTCCAAAATTGCTCCAGGGTGCAAGAACAATGGTTAACATATTTGATTTTAATAAACTCGGAAGAATAACAGGGAGTAATGCCAGCTCTCCTACTGAATTCGTTGTCTAGCTTCTTGTAGGGAAATCCACATTTCTGGGGAGGGGAGAAGCGAGTGTCTTTTCCACCCCTTGTCTTGATAGGTTGGAGGCCAGAATGGGCAATCCCTCATTGCAATGGTCAGGAGCCTTTTTAGAGGATGACAAAAGCTCTATCTGGCTACGCAAAGAACCATAAAGAACTGCATAGCACATCAGTGAGTATGTTAAGCCCAATCTAGCTAGTTTTTTTGTTGTTTGTTTGTTTCATTTTGTTTTGTTTTTGACTCCTGGTTCATGATCTACTGCCTAGGAACTTCTGTGGCCTGAAGACAGGATTTTCCTTGTTTTCCTTTGGGATCCATCTAGACTCGCAGAGAAGACAGTTTTCAGTTACTCATGGCATACAGACTGAATGTATCTGATACCTTGAAATGACAAGACCCAAGTAGCAGCCCCTCCATGGCTGTGTTTCTGCAGCAGGTGGCAGCAACAGCCTGCGGACCAGAAAAGCTTTCCCAGGTGATGGGAATGGCCTCCACGGCTTTTCCGTCCTGGTAATATTTTCTAAAGGCTGTTTCAGCAGGGGGATAGGCAGTCTCTGTACTTAAAAATAACTCTTTTATGAAGCCATATCAATCTCTCCTATTATCCTCTTTGCTCACCAAATCCCAAAGCACACAGCATTTCTTCTGCCTTATATTCCAGCTTGCTGCATATGAAAAGGAAACAGAAGCAGTCAGTTTCACAACGTGAAGGGAAACCTTGAACTTCTTGAACTTCAGAGGCAAACACATTATTTCCAAAGGGGAGCTGGGACGTATATTCACTTTTGCTAGAGAAGCAAGCCAGGACTGTGTTTGGACAACATTTTTAAACAGTCTATCTAAACACTCAATTAGACAAGGGCATTGAGAAGGAGGAAGAGAGCAAGAGGTAAACTTATTTTTGTGGTTGCTACAGTGATTAACTCAAATATTACTGGACTTTTATTTTTAACCCACTCACATAAATTACAAGAAAGTGAAGTGTTATACCATTTGAGTACTTCCCAGTGTGTTTGAAAACAAGACACTCAAGGATTCAGTTAACTGAAAAATATTTATTGTGACCTTTCAGGGATCACTGAAGACATACACGTCTAGGTCATTTAAATATAATGGAAAAATCATGGTCTTTGTTCTCAAGAAACTTGCCATTCTGCTAGGGAAAGGGCATCCGTGTGCATCAGAAAATGAAACAAACAAACAAAGCTAAAGTTCCACCCTTGTAACGTGCTGCCTGAGTGAACCAGCACCACAGAATTTACAGAACCAAACAGGGAGAGGTCTAGGGAGAAAATGACCAGAATCATCTGAAGTATCGAATCTGAACCTGGCCTTAATGCTACCGAAGTCATCCTGGAAGACACTGGGAGGTGAGCTATTCCAGACAGAAGAGCTAGGAAGAGCTGATGCGTGTGAGCATTGAAGTTCAAGGCAGATGCAGTGTACATCTGAGTTGTTCTTTGGGGGCAGTAGCTGGAAGCAAATCAAAGCCACTGAGAGGCAAGTTTGGAGCACAGAGAGCTTTCAAGTCCAGGCCATGAGCATAGTTTCTCTTCTTCACTTGGGAATTAGTATAGGTTTGGGTCCCCCCTCCCCCTCCCAGCATCAGCATAATGCAGTATTGTTTGATCACAAAAGACAAAGGGGGTGGGCGCAGGCAAGTTGAGTGGATGAGGGGTAAATTGGGAGGCAGAATGTGATGGGTCTGTATAAGAACAGGTTCTCCAAGAATCAGGCATGGGTGAGGAGGAGCTCAAGGTGGCCCATCCTCGCTGCTGACATATTTGCTACAGAGAAACTCAGAGAGATGGAGAGTCACTGCCTTCAGTGGTGGACCCACCGTTGACCTCCCTGGGCCCCAGTAAATAGCTCTAATCCAACAGTCCTATAGATGACCTTGGTTACACTGTGGGTCACAGAACAAAACCAAACTCATCAATTTGGGAAAAGAGCAGGTATGGAGGAGGGGGTTGATAGGGATGGGAGGATGATAAAAAACAAAAGGCCAGGGGAGAAAGTAATCACATTCGTATTGTATACATGTATGGAATTGTCAAAGAACATAATCAATTGTACTGATTTTTTTAAAGGAAGGCAGAAGACCTGTTGAGAAATTATGTTTCTCTTGGCAATGTAGGAAAGTGCCTGCTGGGTGCCAGTGGTGTCCACACTGTAATGGCAGTGTGGCCTTTCCTAAGAAAAGGGAGTACATGGTGAGCTGCCCTTTGTACTGCTCTGTATGCAGTTCTCAGAGCAGCCATAGCTGTGGAATGGGTACTATAGGAATAATTTTCAGCAAAACTCTAAGGCAATGCCACGTCTATTAAAACAGTATAACACTATCCCTTTACAAGATCCACAATGTTGAAATAAGGCCATCAAAAGAATCCCCAAAATCCTACCTGTCCTTTGTTTTTAGCAAATCATGTAGCTCATAGTTCAGCTATTTTTTCCAAGAATTTTTCTTTTCTCAAGAAAGCTGCCTCTCCAAGTTGATGCATCCCTGCCCCTTTGAAAAATTCCCCACAGTCAATAAGTGGCCGGTGACAGGCAAAGCCCACAAGGCCTGAGCACTTGCTTTTTTTTTTTTTATTAAATCATGCCCTCTTTATTTTAAATTTTTTTAATGTAAATGCCTGTGAGAATCTCTTCAGAGATTCATGCAATCTCTTTACTGTAATCCTCTATAAAATCAAAATTAAAAAAAAAGATCACATACTTCCAACATATAATAGCAAAGGATATAGATTACCATTACAAAATATAGGGAAGGGAACATAGTGAGGAAATACTGGACCAATGTAAGGCCAAAAAGCAGCCAGGCAACTCCAAACTCTGCACCTTCATGTTTGATGTCAAAACACTCTTCAGATCTCCAACTCTATTAAGCTGTCTCGGGCTGGTACCACTCCCTGTTAGCAGCTCTCCTCAGCAGGTAACCAATGATCCTAGCATCTCTAACATCTTGAGTTTTCCAAGACAATCCAGTTTTATTGCCCGGGGGGCCAGCCTCTAGCAGTGCAGGACTCAAAGGGAATCCGAGGAGTCAGTGTACTAAGGCTTTTTTTTTTTTTTTTTTTATCTGAGGGGTAAGGGGAAAGATGCTCACTCTCTTGATGATTTCCTTCAAACTTTTTTTTTTATTCTTATTTTTTATTGTGATTCTGTAGCCTATATTCTTTTTTTATCTCTATAGAAATGTCCCTTCTATCTCTCTTGATATTTCCCTTCTAACTCTATCTTTATTCTTGACGTTTTTCATCTAATTCTATCTCTATTCTTCCTTATTCACTCATTCTCGATGTTTTCTTTCTCCTTTCTTTATTCTTTCTCCTACAGTTTACATACACCAGCAAAATCTCTCAAGAAGTATAAAAATTGCACTATGGTTGCAGTCTATTTTTCAAGTGAATGAAACTGCATAGTGTCTGCCAGCTCCCGAGCTGGGCTACATACAGTGAGGCTGTGCCACATCCTTAACACAGACCAACATCTCCTTCTTCCCCTCTTGCTCTCCTCATCCACTTGAAAGCGTTGATCCTGAGCGTACTGCTCAGCGAATTCCCTGAGTACCAAGCGCACTGTGTGTTTCAGTTCCTTCTTGTTTGCCATGATAAAACACCGTGACAGAAGCCACTTAAGGGAGAAAAGGTCTCTTTAGATTTACAGCTCCAGAGGGAGATAGTCTATCGTGGGAGGGAAAACATGGCAGTAAACCAGGGAGGCACGGTGCAGGACGGAAAGCTGGCCTGCCATCTTGCATCTCTGTTCAGGAAGCAGCGTGAACAGGAAGTGGTGCCTTTGTTTTAGCATCAGCCTGGGGTGTTTGAATGCAACCCAGACCCACCACTGGAAGGCTTGCCTGGCTACAAGAGATGACTAGTTGAGACTCAGTATTCTCCGTTACTAGGAGTCCTCATTAAGTTCACCTTCACAGAGTCAAGGAAGTTTCTACTGCATTAGGTTTCCACGCCACCCCATATGCCTCCAATTCCAGCTGTCTCCCCTCATACCGTCTCACTTCATTCCATCCTCCCACTTGACCCACCCACTCTAGCCCACACCTGTCCTCACTTCCTTCAGTCCACTCTTAAAATATATTCTATTCCCCCTTTCCTGATAGACCCATGTGTCCTCCCTGGACCCCTCCTCTACCTAACCTCTGCAGGTCTAAGTATTGTTGTTTGGTTATCATTTACTTAATGAGTAATATCCACTTATAAGTGAATACATATTTGTCTTTCTCAGTCTGAGCTATCTCATTCAAGATGATTTTTTTCGAGTTACATTCTTTTGCCTGTGAATTTCACGATGTTGTTTTTATCCATCGAGTCCTTTGTGTAAACATACCACATTTTCTTTTTCCATTCTTAAGTTGAAGGACATGTAGGTTGTTGACACTTTTTGGCTATTATGGACGAAGCTGCAGTGAACGTGGTTGAGCAACTGTTCTTTGGGTATATGCCCAAGAGTGACATAGATAAACCTTGAGAGAGATAGATCAATTCCCAGTTT